GATTATGGATCTATAATTATGGACTGTTTGTGAAGCCCTTATATGAATTAATTGCAACCGAAAGCAGGGACATCCAATAGACAAAGGAAGCTACGCAGGCTTTCAACCAACTAAAAAAAGCCCTCATGTCAGCTCCAGCTCTGGGATTGCCAGACATGAGTAAGCCCTTCCTTTTGTTCTCCCATGAGAAGCAAGGGATTGCCTTGGGAATATTAGCACAGGACCTCGGCCCATACCGGAGAGCAGTTGCTTATTTCTCTAAGCAATTAGACACAGCCGCTAAAGGGTGGCCTGGGTGCCTCAGGGCTGTAGCAGCAGTCATAATAAACATCCAAAAAGCACGTAAATTCACCCTGGGCCAGAAAATGACTGTGCTAGTGTCTCACACGGTGTCTGCAGTACTGGAGGTGAAAGGCAGGCACTGGCTTTCCCCACAACGATTCCTGAAATACCAAGCTATTATGGTAGAGCAAGATGATGTAGAGATAGTGGTGACTAACATTGTCAATCCAACCTCCTTCCTCAGTGGAAACCGAGGAGAACTGGTAGAACACGACTGCCTAGAGACCATCGAGGCCACCTATTCCAGCCGCCCTGACCTGAAGGACACCCCTCTTGAGAATGCAGAAGCCTGGTTTTCTGATGGAAGCAGTTACGTCGTCAGTGGAAAACGGCACGCCGGGTACGCAGTAACTACCTGCAAAGAGGTAATAGAATCTGGACCCCTGCCAACGAATGCCTCTGCACAAAAGGCCGAGATAGTCGCTCTAACTCGGGCCTTAGAATTGGCAAAAGGGAAAGAGATAAATATATATACGGACTCAAAGTATGCATTTGGAGTAGTGCATGCTCATGGAGCCATCTGGAAAGAGAGAGGACTGTTGAACTCTCAAGGGAAAAACATTAAACATGCATCTGAAATACTGCAACTTCTGGAAGCAGTTCAGTTGCCAGAGAAAGTAGCGATTATGCACATTAAAGCACATCAGAGGATAAACTCAGAATTAGAAGAAGGAAATGAGCTGGTGGATAGGAAAGTAAAAGAAGCAGCAAAAATTGAAATAATAAATGAGGCAGCCCTGATTCCAGATGGGCAAATTTCCCTTGAAGGTAAGCCAAAATACAATAAATTGGACACAAAATTGATTCAAGAGCAAAAAGGGGATTACAACCCAGAGGGATGGGCCACCATAGAAGGAAAGTTAGTCATACCCTCCTATTTATTATGGTCCCTAGTAAGGGAAGAGCACCAGAAAACACATTGGGGAATTGATGCTCTGTATAAATATCTGAATGAAAGAATCATAGCCAGACATTTACGAGCCACTATCACTCAAGTGACTCCACAATGTGACCTTTGCCTCCAGACAAACCCCAAGAATATTCCCAAACCAAAACTTGGCCAGATGGGGAAGAGCCAGGGGCCGAGGCAACAGTGGCAAATTGATTTCATGGAATTGCCAAGAAAAGGGGGGTATACGTTTCTACTGGTCTTAACAGATACCTTTTCAGGATGGCCAGAAGCATTCCCCACCAGGACTTCTAAAGCTCGGGAGGTAACTAAGGTATTGGTACAAGAAATCATACCACGATTCGGGGTCCCGGCCACAATCTCCTCAGATAGAGGATCACATTTTATTGCAAAATTAGTACAACAGGTGAGCCAATACTTGGGCATAGACTGGGAACTTCACACCCCATATAACCCACAATCCAGTGGTCAAGTAGAGAAAATGAATCATTTGATCAAACAGCAAATTGTACGATTGGGACAGGAGGCTAATTTGCCGTGGCCTCAATCCCTCCCATTAGCACTACTGCGGATTTGAACCAAACCCAGGACCAAAGAAAAACTGAGTCCCTTTGAATTACTTTATGGGAGACCATATGGGGTGCAGAAGGGAACGTCTGCCCAGGACGTATCACTGACCTCCTATATGATCGCTCTAAATAAACAACTTAGAGCAATTGAGAAATATGTGGCCGGAACTCGGGGTGCGGGGCTGGATGCACCGGTACATGATGTACAACCTGGGGACTATGTATATGTTAAGTCTCTTACAGAGAAAGCCCTGGAACCACAGTGGGAGGGACCATACCAAGTACTCCTTACTACCTTCACTGCAATCAAGATTAAAGAACAAAACACGTGGATTCACCACAGCCGGGTTAAGAAAGCTCCGGAAGACACTTGGAAGATAATACCGGGTGATGGTGAACTGAAACTAAAATTTACTCAGACAAAATGAATGTATCATGGTGGGTGGGGACTCTTGCTGAAATATTGTTTACAATCATAGCTGTATTTCAACAATTAGAAGGTAAACCTAGTCAAAACAACGCTAAATGGCTTTGGTCCCAAGCTTTTACTCAATACACGGGATCCATGGGGAAGTCTTCCGATTTAAAAGGTTTAAATCTAACAACTCTGGTCATGCACAGTAACCAAATATATACACAACAAGAGTGGCAAAAACAGAAGTTGTAGTCACTTCAAGGGACCATAGGAGAGATAACTGAAATAAGATGTCGGATGATTAATGGGACTACCCACAATAAAGTAACCCAGATCAGTGTGAATAAGCGCCAGAAGATCTGCAGTCATCCAAGTAAACTAGACTGTTGGTACAAATTCAAATTAAGACAAACTGTTGATGTGGTTTGCCTCTGGGCCCATGACACTATTGGACTGTCTTTCAAATTTACAATAAGTGCTATAGCCAAACCTACTACAACCCGCTCCAGCACTCAAGCGCAAAATATACCATTCAATCTAGAACCCAGAGTTTATTAAATAGGGCCATATGTTATAAGGAATACGGGCCAACAGAAACTGTTATCTAACCCAAAATGGTCCCTTAAACGTGTTGAACTGTTAATGCAAGCTAATATCTCGACAGTTCAGCCAGCCTGCTCCCCTTTTCTAAGGTCATCCTTTCAAGGATGGACAAAGTGGCTACAAAAGCAAGTACACCTCCGAGATAGAATGCGAAGGGATTTAACTGGGATATTAGGGACCGGGTTAGGAGTTTTGAATGGGATTGACTCCAAAATATTAATGAATAAATTAGCTATAGCAACTAGCGATATAACAAAATTAAAACAGCCTTTACAATCATCTCTATTAGCACTAGGAAATAGTCAGTGGCAAGTCTCAAAAGTGCTGCCAAAATGGAGAAACTTTGAAGATCAAAACCATAGCTTACTAGTAGATGCATTAGAAGGAGCTCAAGAGAACATATCTTTAGCCCTTAGCTGTATACAAGCGCAATTATGGATACAGTCAACAGCTGCTTTAATCATAAGGGAAGGGAGTGAAGGGGTGTTTCCAGCTGAAATACGAAAGGTTGTCTGGGACAATGCTACTGACTTTGAGAGAGACCTCCAGTCTTGGTAGACCATGATAAACTTTACATATGATCCTACCACTAGCACTGCTACTGCCTTTGTGCTCACTATTCGTAATGCCACGGTTCACACTATTCACCCCATTGTTGCTCTAAGGTTAAGTCATGAAAAGTCAGTACTATACCCCTCAGAACACAGGGCATGGGCCTGGAAAAACCAAGGGAAATGGCAAACCATTAATCTAGAGCCTTGCATTGCTCGAGAACAACAGGGATTCATCTGTGAGAGTAATCTGATTAGTGCTCAAGATGTAGGCCTTGACGCTGATCAGGGCATTTGCCACTTTGAAATTCACCCAAACACCAACCAACAAACTATACTAGTATATATAGGCGATGGCTGTGTGTGTTTGAGAACTGTGTGTAATGTTATAGAAATTGATAAAAATAAAGTCCCCTTATCTAGTAAAAATCATTCAAATTTCTGTATTTGCAACTTCATCAAGATTACTGGGTGTGACTTTATATACTCAGCACCAGTCGTATCCCACCAGTTAATAAAATCAAACTACACAACCTACAATGAATTACCACCCACTCCTATTAGAATGAATTTAACCCTAGTAAAACAATTAATGAAACATCAAGATCTAATCAAAATTTTAGAAGAAATTCACAAAAATGGGCAGAAAACTCTAGTTACAGTCCATCATGATGTAACTGAAATAAACAGAGTCCTGCAAAGAATAAAACAAGATAAAAGTCATAACTAATAAAATGCACTATTTGGATGGTCACCGACTGCAATGGGGATCATGAACACTCTGTGTCACCCCATTATTGTTTTATTAATATTAGCTACTATAATGTCTATGTTAACACTTTTGTGGAATTGGAATATGTCGCAACATGTGGCCGTTCTAACTTCACTCTCTAGAACTCATGGAATCCTGCTGAAAGAAAACTCTCATAACAGTAAAATCTAGTAAAAGAATTTACTATGTTTTAAGAAAAGGGGGGACTGAAATAAGAGATTTTCCAAAGATCAATTGAGCTAACAAAATTAATGTATCAAAAATGAATGTATCAAAATGAATGTATCATGTTTGTACAATCATGTGTTGAATTTTAAGAAACCTCTGCCATAGCGCAAAAGACATAAAGAAAAAAAAAAAATTCTTTAAAGCTTCTTGCAAAAAGACAAATACCAAAGAAGACCAGGAATGCAAAGAATTCAGACAAGGAGGCTCTCCTGTAGAGGATGATAAACCTACCCAGATAACAGAGCAGAAAGCCAAAAGCGCATGCGCAGAGGAGAAGAGTTCAAAAGTTCAATGCAGAAGAAGGCTATGGTTTCAGCTTCAGAAGAACACCAGCGACCCCTGTAAAGACCACCACAAAAAACCAGGCATGCCCAGAGGGGCGTGGACCTATTTAGCATGAGAGGTGAAGACAGGCGGGGCCAGGAGTTGAATATGCATAGAAAAGTTGTATAATGTATTGCATATGGAACACCTTTGTAAATAAAATTGTGGGACAAACTCCAGCTCGGGGCACAAGACTTTGGAGAGCTATCTCACTTGTGCCGGGCGCTGGCATACATACCCACTTCATAACTACATTAAGTTGTGGAGTCAATTTATTTATTCCGCGTATCGCTTCACTGCCTAGCAACTATGAATTCTATGTTGCAATAGAAATTTCACATCACAATACTAACACTTTTCTTAAAATTTCTCAAAGCATGCAAAAATAAATAGAAATATGGACGTGAATGAACACTTTACATCTCACAGGACTTTATTCTGGAGGATATCAATTGACATGTAAATTTTACCTCTACTATTTGGAGTTTGTACAATCATATGCTGATTAAAATCAGAATTTTAGGTTGTATATGAAGTGGTATAATGAGAACTGGATTGGCTTTAGTATTTCTCAGTGTTTTATTTCAATAAAGACATCTAGTTTATTGAAAAGTTTCTGCTGTTGAGCACTTTCATGTCCAAGATAGTTACAGAAATTGCATATTGTTTTATTGTAAAAATATTGAAAGTACAGGTTAAAATCCATACAGGTGAGGTGAGAAATGTGCTTTACTTTTTCTTACATGTCTTTTTTGTGATTATGTTTTTTTCTTTAGCCTCTGATTTTCAGGTGGGTAACAGCTACTTTCCACCATAATCTCATTCTTTTATTTCTGTTTTCTTTTTTAACGGCAATGTGTGTCTTTAATTCCAGTGAAAAAGGCATTTAGTGTAGATTTTTAGTCAAATCAGTGATATATGAGGCCACAGCTCTCTAGAGCTGCTTCTATTAATCTTCTAATAAATTAGCATCTCACATAAGTTCTAACAGACTTATATCTGTTTAACTAGATGTTAGATGGTTACAGATGTGTCATGGTTTGACACTGGCACAATGCCAGCGTCCCCATGAAAATGCAACCCCCCAAATTATTGCTGTGAGATATGATCAGGAACAGAGCAGAGCAGGCCCAAGCTTAATAACAAAGGAAAAACATTATTAAACTACTACTACTATAAAAGGAAAAAGAAAGAAAAACACACACTAAAACCAAAATTAAAAGCTTCCAAAACATTCCTCCTGCCCTCCCCCCACAATTCCAACAAACCACAGAGAGACACAACTTGGACCCCCCAATCAGGTTCCCACTCTTCAGA